CGATCTCCACGATGGTCCTTGAGGAGACGGCACGGACCCCCTTCTCGATGGCTGTCGCGCGGGAAGGTCAATGCCGGCTCCCGTAGTCCGCGTCAAGGATCGATATGAAGCCTCTCTCGCGAGCGGGCTGTGTTACTAGCTAAAGTGAGGCTCGTATGTGTACAGAGAATCAACTACGACTACTATGAGCCGGATGTTTCCGCGCGATCGACGTCGAAGATGTCATTCGCTCGCGATTCGTCTTGTCACGTTTGCGTTTTGTTCTTCATGCGATTTGTGAACAATATAATATGTTGCAATTAGGCAATATCAAAATCTGAAGATACATTAATTTCCCCATTTGTGACAATTTTTATTTTACACTTACACTCTCTAAATCTCATAGAGCAGTTTCGCCACTAATATATTAGAGTGATTGCGATAGACTTTAAAAGAGAGGGTTGTAACTCTAATTTGAGTAAATAAGCACTCTAAGGTAAGAGTGAATTTTTAATTCTAATTTTTAGAGCGCGAGCGGCTACTCTATCGGAGTGATACGATGTCACACTAAAACTATAGTGAATCACGATTCACTAAAGATTGACTGATATAAATGACTCTAACAGAGTGAAATTTTCCACTCAAAATTGTAGAGTGACATAATTTTTCTATGGACACTGATCTATGCACTCGAAAAGAATGCCCCTTCACTCAAATGGAGTGCGATTTTACTCCAACTTATAGAGCGCAATTTTAGTCTTTCTTAGAGCGAATCATTCGAAGTACACAGGTTCAATTTTCACTTTTCGTTACACTTGCATTTCACTCGTTTTGAGTGATATTTCACTCTTTGACTTTTAAATAGCAATAATTATCGTACATACGTTAGGAAATTATCTCTTATCTTTTTTCGAAACGCGTTATTTTTTTGCGATTTGTGTCGCGGAATCTGCTCGGAGTATCGTGCGCTTTGCGCATAAGGAAGAAATTCCCTGGTTAAGCACTTTTACTATCAGATATGCCTTGACATTAACGATCGAGCGTTGGTTGAAAGCCATTGGATTGATTGTTACGAGCCGATCTCCCGTGTCATGCACGTTAGGAAGAAGAAAAACTCAAGATCGTTGAACTTTGAACCGTGATGAGTTCTGCAAGTCGCGGCGACGGCGGCCGGACGTTCCCGCGGGAATAGGTGCATCCGGTTCATCGTCGGTCGTACCGAGATGCCCGGTTGGTGGTCCGTTGTCTCGTCCACACTTGAGACACACCATGCTCACGATACTTCTATATCGCGTTTGCCTCCAAGAGCACATATACGCGCGCGTTCGCGTGCGCGCGCGCGCGCGCGCACACACACACACACACACACACACACACACACACACACGCGTATACTATACGTATACACATACGTTCGATGAGGGAGGGAAACATCGACCTCTCGTTGCATCGCCAGGGGGGACAGCGTATCCCCTTCAAGGACCATGTATCAAGGACCGCGGTGTACCGTGACTATACGGGCCTCCCAAGGGGGTCAAAGGTCTCGAAGCCTTTGACTCGCGAGTTCAGTCTTGCAGGTACGTGGAACGAATTCGCGGGAAATCGACGACTCTTCATTAAGAAGAAGAAGAAGAAGAAGAAGAAGAAGAAGAAGAAGAAGAAGAA